TGAGGTTAGTAGGTAGGAGATGGGGGTGGGGCTTGAGGTGGGAGGAGGGGATAGGTTAGGGAGGAAGGGACGAGCTGGGCTGGTTTTGGGATGCAGTATCCCCCATCTCCTACCTACAAGCCTCATCCCGCCCCCTTGACCTGTCTGTCCTCCCTGGACTGACCTATCTCCTCCTCACCTACACTCACCTTTACTGGCTCCATCCCCGCCTCTTTGGCCTGTCTGTCTCCTCTCCCCCTATCTTCTCCTCTACCCATCTCTATCCGCCTCCCCTTTTCTCTTTTTATTTCAGAACCCGCTTCCCCTCCCCCATTTCTGAAGAAGGGTCTAGGCCCGAAACGTCAGCCTTCCTGCTCCTCTGATGCTGCTTGGCCTGCTGTGTTCATCCAGTTCTACACCTTGTTATCTCAGATTCTCCAGCATCTGCAGTTCCTACTATCTCTGATACAAAACTAAGAACAGGAAAGATACTTGTATTTTAGCTATCATGAAATATATGACCAGGTGTCGTCCAAGCACATGAAATAGGACCATTAGACAGTCAGTCAACCAGCCCTAAAAACTGCTCTGCCATTCAACGAGGTCATGGCTGGCACGTTTGCCCTTTCAATTCCTCTCAAAAGGATAGCACTCCATTAGCCTTCTTGATGAAAGTTAGTTTGTCTGTCCAGCACATGGAATCACACTGAAAGACCTAGATTCCTCAAAATTCCACTTGTTGAAGTGATACTTTGCTTTAATTCTTCCTGATAGCCTCACATTTCCCCATTTTATACTCCAACTACCATATTTTTGCTTACTTCACTTAAGCCATTTTCAAAGTCCTCATGACTTCTTCAAAGCATACTTTAACCATTTGTGTCATCTGCAATTTGTTGGCATACCTTCACACCATTCACATTGAAAATTGCAAAGAAGTTGAGGTCCCAGTACACAGTCTGTTTCACACTCACCTTTCAAATAGGCCAATTAAAGAGCTACATAATAATGCTGTGCTTTCTGCCGAGAATACACAACCTTCTATTGATTCTTCATCTTCTGAACAGCTTGGATTTTTCTAATTACCCAGCCACAACTTTCTTACAGATCGATTCCAATACATTCCACATGAAGGACAGATGTCACACTATCTCACCCCACCTATAGTTTGGGTTTGCTGCCTCCCTCCCTTTTTGAATAGTGGAGTTGGAGATGCTCCTTTTCCAATCTAATTGAACCTTTCCTAAATCTATCGTATCATTGCACAGTCATAACTTTTTAACTTAAGCGTGATGCCCTCCCTAACCACTTTAGTTAACCATGGATGTGGGCCTTCCTTTTGAACTTTTTCTAAGTGGGATATATATTCTGAGTATTTTGAAATATCCCTTCAAAATATCTGCTACTGCACCTCTAATGATCTATCCCCTAGCCTCATATCCTAGTTCACTTTAGCTAGCTCAGTTTTCATGCCCACATTGTTGGCCTTTTAAAATTGAAATATTAGCATTAGACAGTTTTCTCTTTTGCAACCTGGAAGTAAAGTTCAATCATATTGGGGTCACTGCTACCTAAGGCTGCCTCTAGGAGGTTATTAATGACTCCTGTCACACTGCAAATACCAAACTGAATATAAGCTGCTCTCTGTCCACTTCCAAAATGTGGCACTGTAAGAAATCTCAAGCATTTCACAAACTTGCCTTTTAATTTTTCTAGTCTATATGTAAATTAAAGTCTCGATGATCATTGCCAGCCCTTTAATCACAAGACTCAAATTTCATCTTGCATATGGTGTCCCCCCTTGTGGTTAATTACAGGGCTTGGAGACCACTTTCACTAGTGATTTCTTTCCCCCTTCTATGCCTCATCTTGACCAAAAATGACTGTGTCCTGATCTCCTGAACAAAAGGTCATCTCTAACAATGGCACAAGATACAAAAACAAGTAAATATGAAACTAAGACTAGGAGCACAAGGATAACCTTTTAAATGAAGCTATTTGTGGACTGGATGCCAGTGCAGGTCAGTGAACATAAATGAGTAAACAGTTTAGTGGCAGCAAGAGGTTTTCCCCAGTTGTTTGCTTACAGGGTCACAAGTACTTGGGAAAATTAGGCATACCAGCCCCTTTCCCTCGCCCATTGAAGTACAAACAACTCATGGAACCATTTTCAATCCACTCCTTCCATCCACAAAAACAACATTTTAGTTTTTTCTTACCACTAAATAATTAAGTACTCATTTCAGAAACTGTTCTTTTGAAATCTATACCTTTTACACAGTTGAAGACGATTTATTTTCACTTCATTTGAAATTAATAAATTAAGTAAACAAATGTAATAGCTTGTATATCCTCACGTACAAACATGCAAACTGCTGGGATCAGAGTAGGCTATGAATATAACCCTGCATAGACACTACACGGCAAATCCACATATGAATGACTTGCAATGGCTGTACATCAGCAGAAGGTTGCACAGCAAAAAGTGGAAATCACTCTGCAATATTTGGAGTAAAAAATACAGAGACAGACCTTCCAGAGAATGCTCACCCTCAGGGTGTACAGAAGTTGCTAAAGGGACACTGGGCAATCATAACAAGTGAGGGTTGACAAGGAATCCATAAAACCTTCTGGTAGGATATTTGTTTTGGTTTGGATCCAACGGTGCAAACACTGATGTAGCTTGTGCCCCATCAGATGTTCTGTTCTTTTCTCCACCATTCCACTCTTTCTGCAACCCCCACCTTTTCTCCAACCTTCCCCCACACATTTCTTACTTTTTACTGTTCTGATGAAAGGATATGACCTGAAAGTTAATACTGCTCTTCCGCCATCGATGTTGCCTGAGCAGAGTATTTCCTGCACTGGTTTCTTTTTCAACAGCATTTTGCAAGTGATTGTACTGGATTAATTGGATTATATCTGCAAAATAAACCAAGTCCCAAACAGCATATTGCTCCCCATGTGCGAACTTTAAAAAATGTACAGAAAACACAAGAGGTATTGGAATCAAACAGAGGGTGAGCAGTGAAACAGTCAATATGGCATATTTATTAAATTCCTCCTTTGGAAATAAAACCAATCTGACTCCAAGTTAATACGCAGCCAGATTCTAAAATGCACTGTCTGACCTGGGATGTCACTTCTGGTATACTGAGGGAACTGATAACTAAAAGGTTTTATCTCAGGGTGGTGACTTGAAAGAAATTCTGGAATTTGCATATTAATCCTTTCTAATTGATTAAAGATTTAAAAGCCACCCTAGGTTTGTTCAACACCACATCAGTTCTATGACCCTTTAAATCTTTTGCTCATAAATTCTGTGTCCGATGCCGCCTCTCACTGAGGCCTGAAGGAGTAATGAGACTCTGAAAGCTTGTGTCTTCAAATAAACCTGTTGAATTATAACCTGGTGTCATGTGATTTTTTGACCTTGTCCACCCCAGGAGCATTGGGGAGGGGGGGGGGTAACAAGGTGTACAGCTGGATGAACACAGCAGGCCAAGCAGCATCAGAGGAGCAGGAAGGCTGACGTTTCAGTGAGGCGGGGGGTATTGTTTTGGTGGGAGCCAATGACTCAGGGGCAAGTTTGGGGATTATCTTAAATTCCATGCACAAAAAGCAGCAATACCTACACAACAGTAAAGGCCACCATAGCAAGGTGGGACAGTTGCCCATCTTCGTATACAGAACAGCAAAAACCAAGACTAATAAATACAGCTTGAAGGGTGTTACACGGCTAAAGATGGGAACCACAATTGGGAACCATATTTTTTAAGAAAACATATCAGCAGTATTGATTTTTTTTTTCTAAAAAGAATCACAACGATGGTATTTCAACAGCTCTATTCAAATTGTAGAAGCACTTTCAAAGTCAGAAACAAGAATGTGCACAAGACTCCGTTAGGAGTTGACCATGGAATTGATGTGATCATTGGCAAGATGTATAAACAGATCAGTGAAGCATAAATTAATTACAACAACCACATTCTACACACTAAAACATCCCAACACCCTTCACAAGAATGTTATCAAACAAAATTTGGGCAAACCTCATCACGAGATTAAGACTGGTGCTTCAAAAAGGTTTCAGTGACAATTAAATTAATTTTCACACAGTTCAATGAATGACAAGAATTCATTCAGAACAGTATTCTGGAACAACCTATTTTATAACTAACAAAGAACAAGCCATACTGGATGTAGTGACAAGTAGTAAACCAGAATTTGTTAATACAACGACAATAACATTCTGCAAATAGTGATCATAACGTGGCTGCATATGATAGTGAATTTGAGGACGAGAAGGGTTGACCGAGAATCCAGGAACATTTTTTTTTCAAATGTAAGAGAAACGTAGAAAGAAAGATTAAGTGACTATAGTAAAAGTAGGCTGTTCACAATTAGATAAACATACAAATATTGGGACAACAAAATTAACACAATCACAGGAAGATATTCAGAATAATCTACCTCTTAGACATCAACTGTTTGGAGTTTTGCAAGTCAAGCTACAGAACTGCATGGCTGACATGTGCACAAATGCCTCCATATAACAGTCTAGAAAACTCTACAAAATCAAACTACATAAACGAAAATGAAGTGCTGAAAATACTCAGGTCATGCAGCATCTCAAGACAGAAGCTAATTTTCAGTCAAGTAGGACTCCGTCAGTCATACAGCACAAAAACAAGCCCTTCAGTCCAACCAGTCCATTACAACCATAATCCCAAACTAAACTAGTCCCACCTACATGCACTTGGCCCATATCCCTCCAAATGTTTCTTATTCACGTACTTATCCAAGTGTTTTTTAAATGTTGTAACTATACTTCCATCACATCCTCTGGAAGTTCATTCCACACACAAACTACTAAAAAAAAAGTTGCTCCTCATGTCTTTTTAAATCTTTCTCCTCTCACCTGAAAAATATGTCCCCTTATCTTGACGTCCCCCACCCTAGGGGGAAGACACCTGTCACTCACCTTTTCTATACCTTTGATGATTTTTATAAACCTCTATAAAGACCAGCCTTCAGCCTGCTACACTCCAGTGAAAAAAGGTCCAGTATATCCACCCTCTCCCCATATATCAAATCCTCCATTCCCAGCAACATATTGGTAAATCTCTTCTGAACCCTCTCCAGCTTAATAAACATCCTTCATTTAACAGGGCAGCCAGAACTGGACACAGGGTATGCCTGGGATGGAAGGTTTGAGTTAGAAGAAAGGCTAGATAGGTTGGGACCTTCTTTCTACTGGAGCATGGTAGGTTTAAGAGGTGATCTGATAGAAGTTTAGAAAATAATGAGGGTATTAATGGTATTGTCTTTCCCCTTGGGTGGGGGATTGCAAGATGAGGGGATACATTTTTAAAGTGAGAGAGACTTTTTTTTAAAAAACAGTGGATGTTTCATGAGTGGAATGAACTTCCTGATGAAATGGTGGATGTGAGTACAATTACAACATTTAAAAGATATTTGGATAAGTTCATGAATAGGAAAGGTTTGGAGGGATATGGGCCAGGAGTAGGCAGGTGGGGCTAGTTTAGTTTGGGATTATGTTTAGCATGGACTGGTTGGACCAAATGGTCTGTTTCAGTGCAGTATGACTTGGATTATCCCCAGTGGAGGGTGGGGGTCACATGTTGCCTTAGAGAGAGGTCCTTAGCTATCAACAGGTAAGAGGAGATGTCAACCTTAGGGCCTTTTCACCCAGAACTTAATTCCGATAGAAACAGGAAGCTATCAGGGGTTTGGGAAGGCCGACAACATTGCCCCACTTAACCCCCCCGCCTCCCGACCCCCGACCCCACAAAAAATAAACTGATCAAAAGTCTTTCCCCACCTGCAGGTGCAGTATGTCAAGCAGCAGGAAATTCCACCCGGGGGTTGGGGGTAGAGGCGCGCGCGAACACGGGGGGGGGGGAGCCGCATGGGGGAACTGTGGGAATTGGGGCGTGGGGAAAGATGGTACGGTGGTCAGCGTCACGCGCGATGACATGCGGGGGGGCGCGAAAGGAGAATGTCCTCGCGCGGCACTGACGCGCGGCCGGGGGGGGGGGGGGGGGGGGGGGTCAATGTCCTCGCGCGGCACCGACACGCGGGGGGCGAGGTCGGGCGTTTGGAGGTCAGCGCCGCGTGCCGACTGTGGGGAGTGGGAAGCACCAACGGTGCGGGCTCCCGAGCGGCGCGCTCCCGTCACCCAGTGTGTACAATGGGGGCCCGCGGAGTTCCGCGTCTGTGTGGAGCGCGGGCCCGGCGCACATGGGGCAGGTGAAAGCTCTCTCCCCATGTGGAGCCCGGGCCGCCTCCGTCAGGTGTTTACACGGAGCCGTGCCTCATCGGAGCGAGGGATCACTGGGCCATTTGTCCCCCCCCCCCACCACCACACCACACTCCACCCCCTCCAAGAGCCGAGCCTGAATGGACTGAGGAGAGTCGAGCGATAACCTGAGGGTGAAGCGACTCGCCAGAGTACCCCGTGGGGGAATTAGCAGCATCGACCCCCCCCTTAACCGACACCGGAGCGCGGCCGTGAAGAGAATCTGAATGGATGAAGAGGATGACCCACCCACCTCCTCCTCCTCCTCCTCCTCACTTCAGCCGAGGCGAAAAGAAACAAAAAAAACGCTCAGAAAGAACAAGATAAGTTTCATTCAACAAAACTTAGCGGCCCCGGGGCCTCGGTCACTCACCTCCCTCAGCGAGCGGTGTCTTCTCCCGCACTCGCCCCTTCTCCCTGTACCGCCGGCCTTGTCGGGGGGTGGGGCGGGGTAAAGTGGGGGTTGCCTGCTTCTCTGCTCACGGCCAGTTCGGTCCGAGTGAGTGAGATGCCGGCCTCCGGGATGGTCTACACCGCCATGTTAACCCGAGTGCGAGCGGGAGGGAGCGGCTCTTTATAGCAGCCGGGAGAGAGGGAGGAGCGGCCACTCCGTGTCCTGTGGGTGGGAACGATGGAGCTCTCTCCCTCTCAGACAGACAGTGCTCATTGACTCAGAGAAAGGAGAGGCAGCCTTTCCCTTCCTCCTCTCCGAAACTGTGCAAACCATCACACTGGCATTTGTCAGGAACGAGCGGCGGAAGCATAAACTCAGTGCGAGAATAACACACACACCTGCTCTAACCACAACACATTCAGCGCCAACTGGGCATACCCCAGCTCCAACATTATTTCACCGTTAAAGGCAGTGTAGAAATATTGCAAGTTGTTGTGCTAGCTGCTGCATCCTAGCCACTGACCTTATTTGCAAACGTCGACTCCAGTCATTCCATTGACGCCAGGATCAAAAATATATCAGAAACGACAGCAGCCATTCCAACCACATCGGCTCTACATGCTTATTCTTTTGCTTTAAGAATGCTATAAATAATCATGCTACAAGTGATCACTAATAGCGGCTCCAAACGTATGGTACTACTAGGCTCAAGCCATAGCAGAACGATTATTTCACAAATGAATGAACGAGGTAAGCTTGGTGTGGAAGTCCAGCAGTTAGATGCACGTCTGGTGCAAACTAAAACTATTCTGCAGGGATTTCGGGCTACTTTCGTACAGAATGTCTCCCGAAGTCACTGCCGTAAGTTACCATCGTTCTTCCGTGCTTGAAAAGAGCCGCAGCCAAGAACAACTACAGATTCCGAAAGAATAGAAAACTTAGCGGGTCAATTGGAATCTGTTAAAAGAACAATGCAGTCTGCATTAGTTTAGACCCCCGAGTGTAGTGTTGACATTTAAAGCATTATCCACTCTCCACAAGTGTTTTACTCTGGTATATCCTGGTGTCTTACATTTATTGACCGTTTTCCCCAGATGTATTGAAGTGTATCAGAAGTCAATCAGAATCTATTGGCCCAGAAAAGATCACTGAACTATAAACCATCCACAAAACATGGTTAGCACTTTACCCTTACCCAACTTTGCCCAATTTAGATACCAGTTGAGAAACTGAATTATCATAACAGTTCTAGAAAGGTAAAGAATCGAAGCTTTCCTTGGACAACACATTTTTTATTTGGAGCAGAATTTTAGTCATAGAGTCATTGAGATATGCAGCACGGAAACAGACCCTTCAGTCCAACTCGTCCATGCTGACCAGATATCCTATATAAATCTAGTTCCATTTGCCAGCATTCGGCCGATATCCCTCTATATCCTTCCTATTCATACACCCATAAATGTTCTAATTTTACCAGCCTCCAGAACTTGCTCTGGCAGCTCACGCACCCTCTGCGTGAAAAAGTTGCCCCTTAGGTCCCTTTTAAATCTTTCTTCCCTCACCTTAAACGTATGCCCTCTAGTTTTGGACTCCCCCGCATCGGGGAAAAGATCTACCTATCCCCTACCATCCATTTACCCTATCCATGCTCTTCATGATTTTGTAAACCCCTATAAGGTCACCTCTCATCCTCTGACGCTACAGGGAAAATAGCCCCAGTCTATTCAGCCTCTCCCTAGATCCCAAACCGTCCAACCCTGACAACGTCCTTGTAAATTTTTTCTGAACCCTTTCAAGTTTCACAACATTCTTCCTATAGCAGGGAACTAGAGTTGCACAGTATTCCAATAGTGGCTCAGCCAATGTCCTGTACAGACGCAACATGACCTCCCAATTCCTATACTCAATGCCCTGACCAATAAAGGCAAACATACCAAATACCTTCTTCACTAACCTATCTACCTGCAACTCCACTTTCAAGGAACTATGGACCAGCACTCCAAGGTCTCTTTGTTCAGCAACACTCCCCAGGACCTTATCATTAAGTGTATAAATCCTGCCCTGGTTTGCCTTTCCAAAATGCAGCACCTCACATTTATCCAAATTAAACTCCATCTGTCACTCCTCGGTCCATTAGCCCATCTGATCAAGATCCCGTTGTACTCTGAGGTAACCTTCTTTGCTGGCCACTACACTTCCAATTTTGGTGTCATTTGCAGTTCTGTATCCAAGTACTGTCTCTATTCAGGTAACTAGTTCTCCCTCTATTCTGTATGATCTGACCTTGCTGACTAGTCTACCATGAGGAACCTTGTCGAGGGCCTTACTTAAGTCCATATAGATCACGTCCACCACTCTGCCTTCATCAATCATCTTTGAAGAAGTAACAAAAAACTCTGTGGCACACTTCCTGACAGCAGAACTGGAGCTGTGCACCATTTATTCTTCTTCTCTTGCTTATTGCCATTTCTCATGTAATTCTAATGTACACAGGAGACAGAGTGATTTCACAGTGGGGGATGCTTTACATTGCTGAAAATTGTCATCAGTCAACAATACAGCTGGTACAGATGGACTATTAAACAGCATCCAGGATAATCAAGGAGGCTGAGCATCATGACCACAACTTTATGGCCACTTCCATTCTGTCAGTGCTTTGTTCTATTTCTTTTTGCAGCCCATCATCACCCTCTATCATTCTCCCCATACTATTCTTTCTTGTCCTGGGATTCACACCCCACCTTAATATATCAGCTCCTTCAACTACATGGGAAGTGTGTGAACTGGACAGAGAGCAACCTACAGTTCAGTGATGCCTCCTTGTACATTCTTTTCCATATCTGCAGGGGCAAAGTGGGTGGTGCCAATCCCTCCAGATGGCATCACAAGAACCTGCTGTCTGAACAAGCAGCTTGGATGATGCAAAGGACACAGATGAATTGGTGCCTTCACAAAGGAGGATGGCAGGAGAAGATCTTCGTCTCAGGAAGACACCGGAACTCTGATGATGGGACAATGGTCATGTAGGCACCTCATTCTTTGATGAACCTTGTGTACATAAAGTTGCCCCTGTTTTCCCAGGCACATGTCTTCACGGCCCTGGCATCCACTAAACTTTTATTCATATCCATGGCCCACCCTCATGTGAGGTGAAGTGATGCCATCCCCACTTGTCCTATTATGAAAGATATCCACATTGCACGAACAAGTCATGCTGTGTACAGCAGACAATGACTATTTATGATCTTCTCTATAGTGTGTACTGCTGCATCCCTCTGGACTTGTCAAGGCAGCAAAACATTTTTTAAAATTCATTCTTGGGATAGGGGCATCACTGGATGGGCCAGCATTTATTTCCCCTTCTGATTGCCCTCAGGAAAGTAGTGGTAAGCTGCCTTCCTAAATCATTGTTGTTCACATGATGTAAGTAGACCTAATTTGCTATTAGGGAGGGAGTTCCAGGATTTTAACCCAGCAACTCTGAAGGTACATTGAGCGAGCCTAAAATGTGTTTGGGAATGGCCCTAGTGAAAGTATGAGCTTGTTTATACCACTATTCATCTAAACTCTGTGGAGTTATCAACAATGTCTGCAGGGAATAGCCCTCTTACCCAAGATCCAACTGTCAACCTGATCTGGATTCTCAAAGCTTTGCGAGCAATGACTTACACAAGATGTACATACTGGATAGTTCCTTGGGAAACCAGCATGGTTCTTCTCCAGTGATTATGGACTGGTTGCACATACAAAGAATGAAAGCCTCTGCTGGCAGGATTTTCATGGGCTGAGGAACAGCAGATGATGCTTAATTTAGATAAATGAGAGGTTTTGCATTTTGGTAAGGCAAACCAGGGCAAGACTTATACAGTTAATGGTAGGACCCTGGGGAGTGTTGCTGAACAAAGAGACCTAGTAGTGCAGGTGCATTGTTCCTTGAAAGTGGAGTTGCAGGTAGACAGGGTGGAGAAGGTGGTATTTGGCACGCTTACCTTCATTGGTCAGAGCACAGAGTGTACGAGTTGGGATGACATGTTGTGGCTGTAGAGGATATTGGTGAGACCATTCTTAGGGAGGTTTATTAGTCACATAAGTGCAACAGATTACCCACTGCACCCTAGATAAACAAGTGATGCCCTGTCGGCGCCTTCTGTCTTCTCTCAGAT